TTACAAAATGGCATTATTATTAATCTTTTACAAGAAAAATAGATATTTAATAAAATTTAATAAAATAACGCTTGGAGAATATTTAAAATGTTGTTTAATTTAGGCTTTTTAGTAGTTTTCAATTTTGAACGAAAAATTGGTTGAAGTTTTTTGATTGGCACTCTTTGGTGATTTAAAAAAGATATTTACCAAAATTGAAAAAATTGTAAAAAATTCTACCTTTGCCAGAGTACCCATTTGTACACTGATATTGTAAACGAGAGAAACTGTTTTTATACTGAGCATATCATTAGATTTATACAGGGTTAGACAAAAATCACTTTTTATATAGTAAAAGGCATAATTCATAAAAAGAATTTTCAAAAAATTTCGATAAGAGGAGTAGCTAGGATTTTGGTAAATATCATTTTTAAGTCACCAAAGGGTCCCGAACAAGAAACTGCAATCGGTTTTAGCGTTTTTATGTGACTTAAACCTCGTTCAGGCAAACCGTGTGCTGACGAGCTAGCAGCGAAGCCGGCCGCGTACTGATCAAGCGCACAGCGGGACAAAAAAATTAATATCTCCGGAATGACATATGAAGGACAAATTTTTGAGTACATTTTATTAAACAGGAACGTTTGCCGCATATTATGACACAAGATTAATTTTTTTTCAGCGTGAAGAACACATACAAAATTTCAATTGTTTATAATACTGCCGTGCTTAATGAAAACGCCGTAACCAACATTTGTGCGATTTTTGTTTTTCGGCATTTTCTACTAGAAAAATTCATCCTGCGTCTATCCTCGGTACTCAAAAAACCGTATATATATAGATACGGTTTTATGAGTACCGGGGATAGACGCAGGATGATTTTTCTAGTAGAAAATGCCGTAAAACAAACATCGCACAATTGTTGGATACGGCGTTTTCATTAAGCACGGCAGAATAAATGTATGCAAAATTCTTTTATTTAAACAAATTTACGTTTATTAAATGATCATTCTATAGTCTAAAAATTTCTACAATAGTGTGTAAAATTTAATTCAATTATACAGAGTGGTCCCAGAGATTCTATTTTTTCAATTTTACAGTGCTCTAAAGTTTGACAAAATTGTCAACCTTAATAACATTACCAAAAAAACGAATTTTAAAACAATTTTTTTACTGTGACATATGAGTCATGCCTACTACACAATAATGTGATTATTTTCAAAATCGGTGATTTCGTGAAATTTTCTGGTCCCACTTGACGTGGTTTGACTCTAATCCTAATATTGCGCTAAGGAAAATATTTTTAAATTCCGCGTTTTTTAGGTCTAGTAATAACAATAAAGTTAAAAAGATCTGTAGTTTATTTAATTCCCTAAAAATTTGAAACATTTTATTTATATCTTAAATATTTAAAAATTTATATGAAGGGGTAAGAAGCAATTGATTTTATTAAAATCATTTTAATAATTTGCTCGTACCTATTCGCCTATTTTTGGAAATGCGATTACTTCGTCTCACTTTTGTTTAAATTCAATCGTACTCTTCACCGGCACCGATAGACGGCCTGTTTCGCTCTTTTGGAGCTCGTCAATATCGGGTAGCCGTTTACCTAGGTCTAAGACCGTTTGGTATGGGACACGCTCTAAATTCTACTTCGCCGCTTCTTATATCAAACACAAGCAGTCAGTGCCGGTTTAACAGGGGTTTTTTGGGGACTATAGCACCGGGCGGTAAATATTTTTGGGGCGGTACCGCGTACCGCCCATAATTTAAAAAAAAATACTAATCGTTAGAATTTAGAAAAAAAATTATTGCGACACTGCGTCGGCGGATACAACGGATACAAATGAGAAAAATGTTGTTAGAGTTGAAGCAGCTTCTCCATCAAAAACTTGATTTATTGGAAACGGAATTTTAACTTTTTGGATAGATGTTTTGCAAAGGGTTAATGAAACCAATAAAGGAGTCCAAAAACAAAATATGGATTTAAGCACAAATGCTCATCTTTTGTCATTTTTAGTTGAGAACTTTGATTTTTTACGTGATCATTTTGCTACTATAAAGACTTGAAAACAACCTTTTGGTTATTAGTATTAGGATTTCTCAATATTTATTTAAACCAAAGAATAATGTTTTATTTGATTAGTTTTTATTAGTTTAATGAAACAAAATATTAAACTTTTATTTTTTAATTAGTTTTTCTTAGTACTTAGTATTGTTATAAACCAAAGAATGTTTTATTTTTTAGTTAGTGCTTTTGATTAGTTTTTATAATTGGTTTATAAAGGCTCATTTTATATTTTATAGGATACTAAGTTTACTGTTAGTTACCAGCCTAACCAACCTAATCTTCCACTTGACGTGAGAAAGTAAGACTTAAAATTTTAAAAATGTTTTTAAAAAAGTAATATTTTAAAGCATTGGGCGTTGTGTTTGTGCCAGAACCGGGCGGCGAACTAACTTAAACCGGCACTGCAAGCAGTTACAGCGGTGAGAAGAAAGTAATCGCATTAAAATTTGACGTCTCCATGTTGACGTCTTAAAGAGTTAATAATATGATTTCAATTAAAAGTAAGAAAAAAGAATACTTTGTAAGCTCAAAATAAATTGTTTAAAAAGAGGTTAAGAAAAGATCTTCATTTGTCCGTAAAAAAATTGACTTCTTATTTATGAGTTTATTAACAGCTTAGAATTCTGAGCTCTTAAAAAGGAGCTGTTTAAGACGTCATGTTAGAGCTTCTACACGAAGTTGTTTAAAAGACTTCATACTGAAATCTTTCTGAATTGGATGCTGACTGGGATGTAAATTAACGCAAACACGATTTCGGAATGTTTTTCTTTTCGTGGTAGGTAGGGGAAGTAAAAATCACATGGTATATTGCATTGAGGAGTATGCGTGGCATTATTGCCGGTTTAAAAAATACCATATTGTTCTTCCTATGTGGAAAGTACAATAAATAGTATTCATTATACTTTCCAAATAGGAAAAACAATATGGTATTTTTTTTAAACCGGCAATAATGTCGTACAATTTATATACAATTTATTAAAAATACCTTTTAATAAATTGTATGAAAAAAGCATTTATAACAATAATAAATACACAAAATGATATTTTATATTTTATAATTGCATGTTTATAACAGCAAGAATTTGGCAACGTCGTATTTCGACCACAATAGCCAAAAGGTTTTTATCATAGACATATTAATATATGGTTTTTATAATTAATTTTGTTTGTATTCTGTAGTGTACCAATTGTTTTGTTTTTTTCATTGTGTTAACGAGATTTTTAGTGGCTTTTACATAATATGCATATTAAGCAACTTTTTGCTTTTTATAAAACCAAACCACAAAAATGTATGGAAGCTTAACCTTATTCGATGCAAATGAATGAATAAATGAAAAAAAAAATTGATATACCTAACCTAAATTTAATTTTGTTGACAATTTGTATTATACATGGACGTATTAATATGTATGGTATCATATTTTTTAAATCCCCTACTCATGAACTGACTATGCGCATAAGGTATATCATACCCAAATCAAAAAATCTTCTCTCAAAAAAAAGAAAACAAGGTCATCCATGCAAAATATAGCCAATAAGGGGACATCCATTAATTACGTGAGATAAAAATAGGGGGGGAGGGGTCTAGCAAAATCTCACCAAAACTAATTTTAAGGGAGGGGGGGTCATTTAAAATCTCACGTCAACTTTTGAGTTTAAAGAATTTGTATTATAATTCAAAATTGTTAAAAAAATTAATCAATTTTTTTTCTTGGGTTTATCATGTTGTCCGCAAAGAAACTTTAATGGCTAAAATCTCACGTGAGAGATTTTGGGGGTTCTACCACATCTCATCAAATCTCACAAAGAGGGAGGGAGGGGTCCAAATTATCAGAAAAATGCCTCACGTAATTAATGGATGTCCCCTAAGCCGTATATGTGTGGAAGTAAGTGATAAGATGATACTAGTGTTGCCATCTATAATTCAAAAGAAGAAGCATTTCCAAACTATATAGAATTCATTATACTCAATATTTATTAATACATTTAATATTTTAAAAAGTAATATGTTTTAAAAAGTCTTATTTTACCGATTTCAGTGATAAATTATCGTAAGTAATATCATAAGAGCATCTAATTTTTCCTAAAAAATGAAAAAACACGTTGCTAAGTAATATTTTAATAAGAAGCATGAGTGCTGGTGGCAACAAGAATCCGAGTCGAAGAAGAGTATTTTTGCACCTGCACGAATGCATTTTGCTAAAAAAATATTACTTAGCATTGTGTTTTTTCGATTTTTTTCACAGGAAAAATTAGATGCCTGAATGGTATATACCATTCGGGCATCTAATTTTTCCTGTGAAAAAAATCGAATATTTGACAAGACTATTTCATGAGTAACAGTTATTCTGCATACACAATGTGTACATAGTAATAATGTATTACACATAGCTTACAAAACACACTACCTATTATACGAGTACATGCATACATAATAAATATGTAGGTATTAATTTGAAAACTGAAAAATAGGTACCTAATTTATTTAATCACAAAATACAACAAACTTAATTGTTTATGGTTCAATTAAAATATAAATTGCAATTTTTGTGACAACAGCTGTCAAGTTTTGCCGCGGGTAAACTGCTGACAGGTGCTGTCATATATATATATAACTATAGTTTTTCCACGTTGAAACCATTTGTAATTCAAAATTGCGCGTTTGTGATTGGTGGAAATTAAGACGAGGGAAATAGTCACTGGTAATGATTATTTTATGTCTTTCTTTAACCCCTTGCGGGATTAGTTATTCAATTTTAAGTTTTCGAATTATCGAACAGCCCTACCCCTAAAAATATTCTTTCCTTTTTTTTTGGAAATAAGCAATAAGCAATTTTACTTTGTCACGTGATGTTTAAATAAACCCTTCCCCCCTCGGGTGTGACAAATCGAGGTTGTCCTTCAACCCCCCTCCACCTTTAGCGTCACGAGATTTATGGACGGTTCCCTTTCGAAATTAATACAGCAAAGACAAATTTTATTTTTTAGAAAAAAAATTATACCTATTAGGACGGCTCTATTAAAATATTTATTTATCACACAATAAAATACATTATCTAATGACTTATGGCTTGACTTGGCTGTAAATCCAAGGCATAAAGTGAGCAATATTAGTGTAGACGCCGGGCCAATTTTCCATGCCGCACGGCGATGGCCCAAAGGACACGACACCGATGGAGAACCAGTTGATATTTCCGTTTTCGTCCTTCTCCAGGCTCATCAGCGGGCCGCCGCTGTCACCTCTGCACGAGTCCTTGCCTTTTTCACCTCCAGCGCAAATCTGCGTTGAGTTGGAAAGAGCTACGTTGGCTTTGCGGTAGGTGGTAGTGCATATGTCAGGGGATTTCACAGGAACCTAAGAAATAGATTAGAAAAAGCTTGAAAAATGTGAACAATCGTAAAAATGAAAGGGATTTTATCATATATATATATATATATATGTATATTAAAAAAAATTACAAAATGCCTACTAACCTGTAGTTTAAGTTTGATATTGCTTTCAGTTTTTGACTCAGTTTTGCCCCATCCAGCAACAAAAACTTTTTTACCGATGTAATTTTTGTTGATTTCAGCAGGTGTGGATGGTAAACAAATTGGTTTTACATAATCTAAAAAAAATCACTCAAATAAAAACAAAAAAAAACTTATTTATCTCAAAATAATGAAATTTCACAATTGGTAAGAAAAACAGCTTTGGTTAATTAATATTTTTAAAATTTTTCTCTACTCTATTAAAATAAATTAGTCAGACATGACTGATTGTGGAGCAATCAGACAAAAGCAGATAAATCCGTTTTAAGCAGTTTCGAGTTATCAGCGAAAAACTAATATTTTACTTTCTCAACACAAAGAACAACCCATGTATTCTATAGAGTATAGTGTTATAAGACCTGAAAACTCATTTTTTATTTTTTGTCCACCTGTATCATGTTTTATAGTAAAAAAATAAAATGGATTTATCTGGTGTTGCTTGAATTGACAGGATTTATCTTCATTTGCTTGAAACTATTCGCGGGAGGAAAAGCACTATTTTCCTCTCATGGTATGTAAATAGCTATTATTTATTGACCTATACAGGGTGGTCCAGGATTAATATGGAAAATATAAATGCCATTTAAGTTAATTTAAATTAACAATATCAATTTATCTTATTTTCATTGAAACAAGAATTGTAATTGTAAATTGTATTAATTTGAATTTATCTGCTTTTGCTTGATTTTCTAGATTTCGAGACCGGTATTCTATATCAATTATTTGGATTTGATCAATTCTGAGTTCACGGTGAACTGTTCACCAATGGATTAATCTTACCTCATTTACTGTTAGTTCAAACCTAACTCATTTTCAACAAGCTGGATTTATCTGCTTTTGTCTGATTGCTCCACAATTGTCATAGCAAAAAAGCAACCACTAATAACTGCAGTCCACATCAATTTGTATTCCGGACATTTAACAGTCAATTTCTTTGAAAAATTGTTCGCTGAATCCGAAAATACTGTCAAAAGTTATGAAAGTAGAGCAGTTTTTGAGATATAGTCTATTCCATATTATATAGAAAATGACTATATATCAAAAACTGTCAATTCTATGCTAGTTAGTGGCTGCTTTTTTGCTATGAGAGTTAGTCATTTTTGACTAATTCATTTTAAGAGACTATGCCAAATAAAATTTTGTGAAGACTTTTAGGTTAATTTATAGGAGCGTTTTTCTTATCTCCTTACTGGACCCCTCATATACATAATTTAAACTTATATTGTAGCAAAAATCTAAGATAAAGGTTTTATCAAATGTGACTAAACATTTAATGTTTACCTGTGTAAACAGCAGGTCTTACAAGTCTCAATAGAGCAATGTCATTGGGTTGATTAGGATCATAGGGATCGTATTGAAAATGTGGTATCCTATCTTCAACAGCAATGTCTTGCGGTTCTGGTGCGCAATCTTTAAAGTTATTTTGTTTGTAGGTTATACAGTCAATGGGATCATCGAGATTGTATTCTCCCAAACGAACACTTATCCTGAAATATAAAAAATAAGTTAGGTAATGAGTTAAATGATTTGGTATACTTACAGTTTCCAATCTTTGGGCAAGTCCTTTCCAATCACGCAATGAGCAGCAGTCAAAATGTACTTGTTGTTTATCAGCACTCCACCACAGTAAAATCCGCGAAGTTTATTTGCTAAAAAAAGAAGAAAAAGTTTGTTTATCATTATACATCCTGTTCAAAAAGTTTCCAGGTTTTCTCGTTTAAAATAGCCAGCAACGTTTATGGATGTGTTTTACGATTTTTGTTTTTTTTATTTAATTTGGTCAAAAACGTCTTTTACCAAGTGGAAATTTTAGTTTGAAAATAAAGAAAAAGTCTGCCGGATCCATATTAAAAGATTACAAGGGGGGGTTAAAAAACATATTCGTTAAATTTTTCCATAAAAATTCGGTCAAAATAATAGAGAAAATTCAGCACCTAAAAGACAACCCTCGGCTAATGTTTAAATTAAGAATAATAATGGTATAAATAAAACGTTAAGGTCCATGGCCATCTCTTTAAAACTTGTTTGACGGCATTTCATTGCAATTTATATTATTCACGATTAACTGAAAGCCTTCAACTACGACTTAAAGCAAAGTAAAGTAAGGATGCGCAAGCGATCGCTTCCTAAGAGTAAAGCGCACACAGCGTGTTAAGTTTGTTAGGCAATGTAAGTGTAAACAGTGCGAAATCAGAGCCCTACTGTGCAGGTAAATCACGGCACCTGTCTCCCGAAGTCTTAAAATAAATAGCCTTAAATAGCTTTAATCCACATGATCGGTACAAATCGGTACAAATCAATTTAGCCCCAAACTAAACAAACAATCAGTCGCCGGAAGCAATAGATAACATAAACCAGTGGCGGCTGGTGGATTTTATGTATACCAATATCTCAGTTATTAGACATGGGACCCTCACCAAATTTATAATAGTATATAATGACATTAAATAAACAAGTTCGGCGCAAACAGAATTTAAATTGAAGTTTGCGAAAAAAAGTTAGTTTTTCCTGTCGCCTTACCCGCCTCCAGGCCCCCCTATTTAAGATAATTCAAATTAAAGTGGTGCAATTTATTATCTACTATAATTTATCGAAAAAATAAAAATTTTATTTAAAAAATCTAAATATTACAGGTTTTAAACCATTTTAAATGTTTTTTTATTTTAATAAAATAAATAATAAAAATTTAAAATCGAATAAAATCTGTAATATTTAGATTTTTTTAAAAAAATTTTAAATTTGTCGATAAATTATAGTAGATAATAAATTGCACGACTTTAATTTCAATTATCTTAAATGGGGGGCCTGGAGGCGGGTGAGGCGACAGGAAAAACTAACTTTTTTTCGCAAACTTCAATTTAAATTCTGTTTGCGCCGAACTTGTCTATTCAATGTCTTTATAAACTATTATAAATTTGGTGTGGGTCCCATGTCTAATAACTGAAATATTGGTATACCCAAAATCCACCAGCCGCCACATAAACAATAAGTTCAGTCACCTAAGCAAAATAAACACGCCAAAACATCACTACGAAGATCTTTAAGCAAAGCTGGAGTTTACGCACAGTGAGACAAATAATTTGTTTATCTACTCATTTACTGTCTTCACACCGGTAATAAACATTAAAAAAAATCAATTAAAAACCATCAAAAACCATCGACAACTATCGGTAGTCACATTGCCGACTGCCGAAAGCTATCCATCGATAGTTTTCGATCCGAGACTGAAGAAATGGTTTCGCACAGTGGGGAAAACAATTTGCGCGCAGCATCCGAACTTGTAGCACAAGTCCAGCAAGGATAACAGCGAAATAACCAACCCAACCCCATTCATGAACCCCAATTAAATGGGGGTATTACTAAATCCCTGATTTAGGGGGATTCCGGATTGTACTTAGTTTTGAGTCAGTTCAATGTCCCCTAAAAACCAAAATATTTTCCCTCCTTGTCCCGCACTCCACTAGCCCAAATCGGGCGTATGGCCCGGCTCGGCGACAAAATTCCGGGAGGGGCCTTAACCATCGAAACTGACATCCACGGCCTCCTAAGAGAGATTTACCAGCTGGAGTGAAGATTCGTATTCATCACACACAGTTGCGGTATACGTATAAGAACTGAAGAATGATAATAAAAACTCTGGGAGATCAGTGTAAGGCGATGGCGATGGGGCCAGCCATACGTTCCCATACCCATACTCACGATTAACCGAAAGACTTCTGCAACATCTGCAACGATTTGGCAAATATCATATTTCTAAAAATTTAGTGCAAACTCCAAAAATATGTCCGTTAAAAAATCGCAAAACGCCCTTAAGCATGATTAATATATTAAATAGTTGTAATATAATACGAGTTGATGGGCCAAAAAGTAAGTCGTTTTGTGCTGAGGAAGACCAACGCATGGCAGACGCGTACAATTGCGCGAAGCCGAATGGCATACAACATTTTATCCTCAAGTTGTTGTATCAAAAATAGATATGTTTTTCGGAATTTAAACGATACATAAAAATAAAATATTAAAAGTGGAATATGAGGTAGATACAGACGTCGAATTTTATGACTGGATACGAGAGGCGAAAAGAGTTCTTTTCAATTTAAAATCAGATTGGTTCAAATCACAGTTAATAATAAAATTAGCAAATCACTGATTTTTTCAAAGAAATACGAGGTTATATTGATAATTCCTTGGACAAAAACAATATTTTCTACCAAATTAAGTGTTATTTTTCAACATACTCTCCTTTTAGTTTTATACATTTAAATGGAATAATTATTTCGACGATACTCCAACTACTTCATTTCTTCAGATGATCTTTCTATAGGATTTAGGGTGATGATTTCTCATTTGGCCGTCCAGAATGTTCAGCATCATTTTTCGGTATCCTATCAATTCATCGAGCGACAATTCATCGCGTGACAATTCATCGCACGACAATTTATCGCATTACAATTTATTGCAGATTTTTCATAAATGTTAAATTATAATGTAGTTTGCATGTTTTAATCTTTTTTAATAATTATTATTGAGTATTTTTAAATAAAGTCATCTGTCCTCATGAATTTTAAAAAAGCAACAATGAATGATATTGACAATAATAATTTTTAAACATTTATGTCTATTTTGTAGCATTTATTATCAGTGCTACAGTAACGCTTGTACCAGTCAGACGTATATTTATATCGCTCCACAAACGATACAAATAACCAGTGCATTTTAAATCCAGAATACCTAAAAGGTAATTATTCTATAAGATTTCATTCAACAGTGTATAATTCTGTGAATCCCAAGGTGCAAAATCACCTCATCGACCAGGACTAAAGTGCAAAGTGTATAGTGTCATCAAAATTTTTGGATAAGTTTTATTAATATTTGCACGTCGCTATTCGCTAAAAACTTGTAATTCCGTAATTCACCAAGGTCCGGGTTTCTACCTTCTCAAGTAGAAAAGTCCGTAGGAACATCAAAAATACAGTAAAAAAACAACCATAATAGGTGAACAGGGAACAAAAAACCAACATCATAATAGACCAAAAAATACCTATAGGTATTTTATATATGCCTTTATAGAAAATCAAGTTCGACTTAAAAATTAAAGCAAAATTGCAGCAAAATAACAACTCCCGAACTCCATACAGTAATCCCAAATGTTTGGAGTAATACTAACTGCCTGGTACCGCGTCGTACTTAGATTTGAGTCGGCGTAATTGTCCCCCAAACACCAAAATGTCTATCCCTCCGGTTCTACCTCCTTCATGACCCTATTGGGCGTATAGCATAGGCCCGGCGAACCCGGGAATGGCTACTATAACTATTGGCTTTTTGCTCTCGAGCCCTGATTAGGGGATAGTACGGAAAGCAATGGACATATGCATGATGGTGGAATACGCTGTCCCCATAATAACTATTAAGCCATTTTTTTGCTTTAAAGCTATTTTTCGCCATTAAAAATCAGTACTTAATAAAGATAGGATTTTTTTTTAAATACAAAAAATGCTGAAGAAAGGCTTGTAAAATCAAAACTTATTGACAGATTAATCTAAAATTTGGTCAGTAATCGTTTGAAGTATGGTTCTGGTCAATCGCACCAACAATTTATAATTGTGGCGCAATCTTTTTAAATTATGAAACACCCTATATTTTAAATACATTTAAACTCACGTCTTTCATATTGTATTAAAGCCATCCATGGGAACTCATCCAAATCCGTTTTTTCACCTCCGTAAATTCTGTTTTCTGTACCGACACCACAATTCTCCTTTGTTGGCAGCAATGACGCCCCTTGTGAACCTCCACCACCTGAAACTAAAAAATAACAACGTTATTTTACATTTAATGTGTATTTAAAACTAAGATTTAAAAGGTCACTTAGTGCCATGGAAACATGAACGATAATGGGCGTAGAAATAATTGTATAATCAACTTTCGACAGAATTATCTAAGGAAAAAAACAGTAACTTACAATGTAACTCTCAATGTTATGGTTAAAGGTAGTATCTAACTTAGTAACCACTAAATGCTTTATGTTTATTTTTAATGTAAAAAAATAGTGTATATTTAATTACGTAAGTAAAGCTTCTTTACCTAAAATATAATAAAAATAAACTGGAGAAGAAAAATAATACTGCTTTGTACCTTATCGTATATTCCAATTTGCGTTGTGGATGTTATAAAAAATAACTATTTTAATTAGTGTCTCAAATAAAATATTTAAAAGCAATTATGTGACAATTAATCGAAAGAAATAAAAACATCAATTACTTATAAACGATTATTGAGTATAAATACAGATAAGTAAATAGAAAATATTTACTCGTAGTTCAAATAGGTGCTAATTGCATTACATTTGAAGGTAAATATGTAGACCTTTAAGTACGTCACAATTCAATATTTATTTAAATATTAACATTTTTAGATGCCATTCAAAATTGCTAACGTATTTCAATCATCCAAAGAGATGATGTTAGCTACTGGAATATGGCCTCAGGAAAACCCAAATTTCATCGACAATTTCAAAGCATTTTTAAGCCATACAAATTTCTTCATAATGCTGATACTTCTTATGATCGAAGTCCATAACTCCTTTCACAGCTTCGTGAAGCTATCAGAAATACTTTTTGTGCTTTGCACGTTCCTTGCCTATTACGTAAAAGTATTTTCTTTAAGATACAAGAAGAATGAGTTTTTAAAGTTGGTGGAAATGTTGGAGGATCTAGAAAACCATCCGGCAGATTTAGAGCATTACATAAAAAATGCCGAGGTGTTTCAAACAATCCTAGCAAAATCGTACAGGTGGACTTGTGGGATAACTTTATCATGTTTTGCTTTATTTCCATATTTTGATGAGAACAAGCCCTTACCCCTACCTTTTCCATACTGCCATACAGGTTTTATGAGGTATTTTCTTTACGTTTTTATGATCAGTGGTTTGGGAATTTGTGCTTGGAATAACTCCTGTTTAGATCTTTTACCGACCAGTTTCATGGCCATTGCTGCAGCTGAATTGGATATATTGAACGATAGGTTGGCTTTAAGCGAGAAAATATTTATACAAAATAATGTCGAATTAAGTAAGGAAAAAGAAGTTGGGTATTTTTTAGCTTGTGCCAAACAATATGATTTAATAATAAGGTAGGTAAATATATATATTTTAATTGAATTACCGAGATATTAAAAAAATATTCTTTATGTTGTCACGTAACAAGTAGAAAACTAGCTGGTATTTTGATTTTATGAGGGAAAACAGAAACAGAAAATGAGAAAATGAGCCCAAAATAATAAAAGTGAATTATGGTGACTGTGACCACAGAGACTTAAAATTGGTTTATAGATAAAGAAATATTATAATTATAATAAATGTTAATAAAGGAGTTACTCTCAACCACAAGGCATCATATCGTCATCTAAATGTCAAAACTAGGTAACTCAAATTTTGCGATTTTGAGTTATCCAGTTTGAAATCAAATATAATGCAAGAACTAGGAAGCTAGTGAAAGTAATCTGGAAAGTCTTAAGATTACTTTCACAAATTTCCTAATTCTAGAATTCAATAATACTTGCTCCCTATTTTATTTCAAACAAAATTTGAGTTATATAGTTTTGATATTCAGGCGACGCGTCGCGACGGTGTTTAGAAATTATTATTTATTAAAAACTCACTAATTCACAGGGGCGCACAGAAAGGGGCAAGCCACAAAATTTCGTTTTGAATCGTTTTTAAAATACCTACCATATTTACCGGGTGTTCCAAAAGTCAGGGACAACATAAAATGGGTAGTTATGATTTTCTAAAACGAAAAGTATTTAGTCGTTTTCTGTTAATTAGTTATCAGTTAAATAAAGTAGCCAATCATTGGCGAGCTTTAGCCCGCCCGTCCCTGTACTGTCCATACCAGCAGTTCTCTTACATCATTCTGCTTAAGCGCTTTTCTGATTAGCTACTTTATTTAATTATTAACTAGATAAGGGAGCATCAGATCGAAAAACGACAAAGGACTTTTCGTCTTAGTCATGACATGACATGACATTTTGGAACCTTTACCTGTAACTTTTTAAATTTATGAAATTTATGGTTAGGGCCCTCTTTAAGTAAAATTTCCCCGGGCTCCCAAAGAGCTTAGGGCGCCCCTGATTATCCATATCCATAGCTTATAATTAATGTATTTGATAAATATGATTAGCAATAACTTAAATGAAAAATATAATAACGATAAGTACTTGTGACGTCACATTTTTTTCAAATATCTTGTGAATTAAATATAAATTTTTGATTTTAAAAATGTTTTAAATTGTTAATTTTTTTTTTAGATTTGTTAAACAAATAGAAAAAGTTTTTACAGTTGGCTTTTTGGCACAATTTATGGGTAGTACTTTTGTCATTTGTAATACAGGTTTTCAGTTAATGGTGGTAAGTTATTAAATAAATAAAATAATATATTTTAAACAATTATAAATTATTTTAATATATTTCTGACTCGGCGCATGTGCTAAGCTCCATACCCATATGCCCCACTTTAAAATTTGAATAGAAATTATTGAGGTTATCGATCTGTTATTTTACCGCTAATTTCATATTATTTTCTGGAAAACAATACAATATATGTATATTTTGTGTAAAAAGGTCTTAATTTAGAACACAAAAAAATACATATTTTGTATTATTTTTAGAAAATGAGACGAAATTAGTTTAAGCGACAAATAGAATTCCTCAATTATTAGTATTCATCATTCAACGGGGAACTTTTGGGTCATAGTAGTCATAGTAATCAGGACCTGTCTTTAGTATGTGAGTGCTGCTCGAACAAAATTAGACTTTAATTTATTTTAAAACGGGTAATTGGAAACTGCCGACCACCGACCCTAGACGGAAGAAATGGTTTGGCACAGTGGGGCAAACAATTTGCGTACAGCAGTTTCCGAATTTTCAGCACAGAAATTTTCAGCTAACACGGACGCAAACGAATAGGTAGTACTACAAAAACAGCAAGGATAGGTCCAAGCAGCGGACTAACCAACCAAGCTCAATTCACATGAACACCAAATGAATGGGACTATTACTAAATCCCTGCTTTAAGGGGATTCCGGATTGTAGTACTAACTCTGGGCGATCGGTGTAAGGCGATACTCACACTCATACTCAACATTAAACTTCAGGTTATTAAAAACAAAATTGGATAACTAAAAACTGTGTGCACAGTGGCATAAATTTAAAAAGCCAGCCAACGATTTTTTATTAAAATGGTCGAGCTATGCAAAAATAACCGCGCCATGCCTAAATTTTATTCTCGTGCTAAACAAAATTTTGAGACGGGTCAGTTGACGGTCAGATAATACCAGTACAGTTTATTAAAACTAAATGATATGAATATTAATAACCTGGTTTTGCATTGTGGTAATGTTAGCTGACCACCAAGGACCTAATATTTAACGTTTCAAGACTTTTAAAATGATCCAGCCTTTGCTTTTTTAATAATAATAATAATAATAATCATTTTGTTTTAGATTCCTTGGGTTTCAATGCAATTTTTAACTTTATTTTTTTATTTTGTTGCCATGATTGCCGAACTAACCATGATCTGCTGGTTCGGAAATGAGATTATTTTAAAGGTGTTTTACCTAAAAAGTTTCATTTTCTAAAGGTTCTAATTTAACTATTTTTAGAGCCTGGAAATTTCAAATTCCTGCTATTTTTCTAATTGGTACAACTACGATTCAAAAACTAAAAAAATATTATTTATAATAATGGAAAGATCCAAAAGGCCATTAATTATCAGCACCTATAAATTTTCCAGTTTGTCTTTGACAGCCTTTACTTCGGTACGTTAAAAGGACATTAAATATTTTATAGAAACACATTTTAAATGATATGATATGTTTTGTAGATTATACATTGGTCCTATTCATACTTTACGTTACTAAGAAGACTCTACAAAAAGTAAAAGAGAGCGCTGGAAAAATATACAACTAAATGCTTTATATGAATCGTGTAGATCCAAAACCCCCTATAAGCGTTTCAATTGACCTTCCAAGAGACCCAAAAACAATAAAATAGTATATTCTGTAACAAGCTTGGAATACGGCATATTCCGCTCGAGTGAAAAGTTTGTCACATGAGCCGAAGGCGAATTTGACGGTTTCACGAGAGCGAAATATGCAATTCCAAACGTCAGACTATACTTTTTCTACGTTTGTAAAAAATACCATACCAGTGTTAATTCCGTCATACGATGATTATTCATTCTGTAATACTTTTAGGATATATGTCATTCCACATTAAAAAGTGATATTAGAACGGTCATATTAGAAAAACGATTTTAACCTTATATACCTTAAGTTGAAAAGTTCCTTGGAATTTTATTAGTTGGTTACATAGGTCGATTTTTAGTTTATAAAACCATAAAAGCAGATACAATGGCAAAGCTAGAAAAGTAACAAATCTGATTTTGGATCTACACGATTCATAATATGTAGTAGAATTAGTAGTAGTATCTAAAGTATCTATCAATTTTTAAATTACACGATAGGTATCTAGATTGGGGTATTTTTAACACTTAAAATTGATATTTTAACCACCTACAATATTAACACTTATAAATCTTCTTTTACTTACTTGTTGGTCTGCTAGTGGGTCTAGGTGGGGCCACAGGTGTTGATTGACTTTCTGGTTCGGAACCTATTGGGCAACATACTTTCGGAAATGTTCCTTGAAAACCACACTGTGAGTTCCTTAGGTAATCTGAATCGACCCTTTTAATTGGTCGCCTCTGTAGTAATTGATACAAAGAGGGGCACTCGTGAATTACTAGACAATTTCCCGGTTTCGACCTGGGGGTTGAACAGGAATCAATGTCCTCTAAAAAATAAAAAGAATATTAATAATATTTTTTAAAATTATTGGTAAAAATTGTAACAAATAGTAATAGTAGTTAAATTTTATTATGACGGATAGCTCCATCCTCCTTTTTTAAAAAATATATGTTTATTAACTATATATACATAATATTTTCAATAAACATTGTTGATAGAAAATCTTTTCAATAAAGGCATGCGGATTTTTATCAGCCCATGAATTATAAAAATTAATGTCGGTAAAAATATTCTACGTTAGTGACAGAATTTTATAGAAAATTATAGTCTACGTGAAAAATTTTGAGCTTTTACTCTCATTAAAACGCACCAACAAAGTTTTTTAAACGCAATCGATAGTTAATTAGCTAATCCGTTTCCAAAATTCGCATATACATTACTAATGTAACATTAGGTTTGAAAATGTATGTTTACGAGCATCTGCCTGACAGTCTAAAGTACAGTATCTTTATCAAAAATAGTGATGGTCTCAAATTAATTAAAAATTTATTAATAATCAATTATTTATTATTTAAAATGGGCCAAATCACATAAAGTATCACAGGTGGTTCTGTGTTTCGAGTGACCTTGGGGGGAGATCGAGACCTTGTGATAAGATGTGACGGGGAGGGGGGTTATATTGGTAGGATAAAAAATAATTTTTATTAAAAAACATATAAATTATTGAACATGTAATATTATTAAACAAAAATAAAAAATCAGTCAAACAATATAAAAACTAATAAAAGCAAAAAAATGTATCTAAAAACTCATCCTCATCCAAAAGTTTTTCTTCAAATTTAAACATCTTCATAGGTGTTATTAAAACTTTTAAAAACCTCTACACCTTCTCTACTTATCAGAGTTTAAGTTAAACCTTCTCTTGCTTGACTCCCTTTAGGCTTTCTAGAAGGGGCCCTTCCACATTACAGATAATCAGTCTTTGTTGATATTGCTGGTTAATGCCAAGTTTAAGAGATGGGAATCCCTTCACCACTAACTTCCCTGTTAAAGATAGTAATTTGTCCTCAATTTCATTGTTTGTCATAAAATTTTTATAAATAGTAAAAAAATATTTATTTCAAGATAATTTTGGATTACCCTTTTCCATTCAGGGATGAACTTAAATGCCCCGTCAGAAGAGTTCATCTTAATACAAAGTTTTAACCACGTATTTACGAGGAATTTGTGAATTTTCTGAAGAAACCTTATTTTTTTCTCAGAAATTCGTTGTTTTTTAAGTTCATTAATTAAATAATAATAATTATTATTATTATTAAAACAGAGTCTAAACATGCGAATCGGAGTAGCCTAGAACAGATGTTCGAGTTGTATGTATACATGTTATTGTATGTAATACATGATATTGTATGTATGTATGTAATACATGTTAAGAAAATGATGTTTATGAACAGCAGGGAGTAAGCACATATGCTTTAAAACGAACAAAGCCCCTTTTGCCAAAGGCATTATTTTTTCTGAAATATAGTCAAAACAATTTCAAAAATGTTACAAAAAAATCAATATCTTTTGAATGAATATTACAATTTAATGTGGGTACTACGTATTAACATATTATGTTAATTTATAAAATTTGAATAAACTAATAGGTTATAATATATATTATAGTTAATTTATATATAGTAAATATTTGAATAGTTAATTTAAAAAAGTAGATATTTTGAAAAATCCTTCAAGATTAATTGAATGGGGTTATTTAACAAGGAACCAACCCTCACTGAGATAATAGCGTCTAAAAATGTATGTGCTTCTTTCATTACTAAATTATAAGTTATAATTATAGATTCAATATTTACACCTTATTTATAAATCGCCAATTTCATTCTAAACTTTTCATTTCTTACTACAAGTTTTCTTTATTGCCTATAAAGAGTTGGCGCAACCATGCAGCTTGAATCTTTGTTGAGATTTAGAAAGTGTGCTTGCAGAGTTTTGTATAATTTTAAATCGGGGTTGGATAAAGTTTTGAAAAATAATAATAAATAATAAATAATTCAATTATTTTAATTTAAAATTAAAAATATTTCTTTCATTTGATTAAAATAAGTTAAATATACAGGGTGCACCAAGTGTGTAATAGGAATATTTTGGTTTTGACAGGTTTTTAGTATTTTTTTTAAATATTAAACGCCGTTTTTTTACAATTTTTATATTTTATTTTAATACATTTAAAATTCAAATAAAAAAAATAACCAATGTGTACACATATTACTGTCTATTATAGTGTGCTTTCTATATACAGGTTGTTCTTCTGGGACAAAAACAATTTCAATAAAATTGTATATTATAGACCAGGTGGGCTCATATTATAACCACAATTCTGAGATTAACAGAGCATACATTTCACTAGATTGTGTGCGAGGAAATCAGCTTTCGGGTTTAATATACTATACTATATACTATACTAGAATATTATTTTTGGGTTAGGTTCACTGACATGATGACATTTTAGCCTTATTTTTGCATGGAGGTTAATAATAATAATAATAATTTGACTTTTTGACTACTATTACAGTATTATACGCTTAAAAAAATACTACAGTTTTTGTTCGTTTAAAACTAATATAAATATGACGAAATTATTTTATAATACCAATTTTTTGGGACATTCTAAGAAAATTTACTCTTTATTTATTTTTTAAATTTACAAAACTAAACTATATTTTCCCAAAATTATATTAAATTGTAACAAAAGCCTTAAGATTAAATGTCAACCAATTTTTTATAAATTAGAGGGGAGAAACATCATTTTTCACCCGTTTCCCAAAGCAATTAAATTAGATTTTATTGCTAAACATATTTTTAAAATAACATTTATACGTTTATCTATTTTTTTTATTTTAAGGGTTGTTTTCCTGTTGTATAACACCATTCAATTTATAATATAAACCTTAATATTAAAAAGGTAAGCGTTTACAAAATTTAAATTTTAAATTTTTATAGTTTAAAATATAATGCAATTTATATATATTTTTTTTATTATTTTGGCGGTTGATATATTTTGATAAACATTTATAGCTGCAAAGTTAATTAATATTCAATAAATATAAATTACCTGGAATTATTTTTAATTGGGTAAGTTTAATTTAATTATAATATTTACATGTACGAAATAAAAAATAAATACTAAAAACAACAAAAAAACACTTTTTTTTAATTTTTATACACAAGATTTTAAACTCAGGCTTTAAATTTTAATTTATCAGTTCTGATCTAAATGTACATGTAAATGACTCGGAAATATTTTATGACAGTTTGTTAAAAAAATATATTACAATTAACGAATGTTAATTAAAACTTAAAAATTACTCGGGGGCAACCCTATATAAAAACCCCCCTATTTTCAAAATTAATTATTTTCCCATTATTTTTATTGTCAGCTTTCAGATAATAAAGATTTAACTAATTTTTATGAGTTTTATTTATTTTAATATTTATGTATTTATGCATATATACAGAGTGTGACAAAAATCATGAAAATCAATCAATTCGTCTCAGAATTCCATCCCCTATACATTGTTGTTCATGACTTTTAGAATAAACAAATTGAAAATAAATTACTACGATTCAAAAATAAGAATTTGTTTATATTTAAGATTTTAAGTTATAATTTTGACAACCATCAGAAAATAAATCTGTCAACCATGTCAACCTCAGCTGTCTTATTTTAAATTGTCTTTTTTTAAATTGTTTTTTAAGAAACACTATAAGATGTTTATTATTAAAGCTCATTGGGTATTGGGTATTATAGCGTTTGCGCCATTTTTGGGACACCCTGTATAAGATACTTTGTAATTGCACGTTTTCTTTTTTTTTACCCTAAAATAAATACCATATTAATAATAATTATTAATTATTAACCTTTAATTAAAAACAAATTAAATCACATTTTGGTAAATGCAAAATTTATTTGTTTATTAAAAATATTCAAAAATTAATGTGTAAATAAAATTATTTTTTTTAAATTTTGGTACATCATGAACCAGGCGAAGAAAGTAAACATTTTTGGCGATCATACATTTCACTGCCGAGGCGATAGTCAAGGCAGTAGATTGTGTGCGAGGCAATTAATAAGCTTTCGCCGCCGAGTTTTATATACTATTTTTTGTTCAAGCATTTTTTAAAGAATTTCTTAAGAATTTGTTACATTATTTTTAGGTTATGTTCAACTGACATGATGATATCTTAGCTTTATTTCTGTGCGGAGTTAATAATGTAATAATAATTTGACTTTTAAACTAGTTTTAATATGAAGTCGTTCTATACAGACTAAAGAGTTTTATAATATGAAAATTATTGTACGTTTGAAAAAAATGTTTACTCACAAAACTTGCCTATAGGCGATATACATATGTTATGTATTTCATACATTGTAAACATCAAATAACTATTAAAATAAAATATTCGTAGAAAATCCTAATTTAATGCGTACAATTTATTTATAAATTATTATTTATAAAAATTCCCCATTTTTTAACCAATTTATATTCCCAAACGTGTTTAAATGTTGTTTATTATGAATTATAAGGTTTTCCAAAATAAAAATATAAAATCACATTTATTTGTAATTTTTAATTATTGTATTAATATGGACTAAAATTGGTTATTTTTAAAGTAAACTTGTTTATTAATTACATATTTTTATCAAAATATCACATTTTTAAACTTGTTAATCCTGTTTGAAATACGCTTTGTCTTGTTATAATCAACTAATTAAAAATAACAGATACAAACTAAAAATACTTGGAATTAACATTTATTAGAATTAATTGTTAGCACAAATAATAATTTTATAATAATAAACACAATCCAAACACTCAAGGTTATAATCAAACGTATATATACATAGGTACAACAAAAAGAGAAAAAATAGAGTTCTAAAAACAAGGAATTAGAAGTTTTAATTGACTTACGTCCATTGATGAGCACAATTAATCCAAAACATTGCACTAGAACAGAAATCAAACTAAGTCTTGTTGTGCCCATGACTTTAAATTGAATGAAATATCGAATAACATTCAGAAATTAAAGAAAAGTGGAAGGGAATCGCCGCTCGTTGTTGATACTGGATGACCCATGCCGGCCCGGTCCTCGTTTGATCAGTTTAAGTCGGGCTTGAACACATAAGATATGTACTGTCTGTCCACTCTAAGTTGGCTGAAGTAAGGAATTTTGTTGTTTAGATATTAAAGAATTGTCGTACTGTGTGCTTTTAAAACAGATTTTATATTATAAATAATACTAGTATATAATATGTACTAGTATTATTTATAATATAAAATCTGTTTTAAAAGCACACAGTACGACAATTCTTTAATATCTAAACTACAAAATTCCTTAGTTCCGCCAACTTAGAGTGGACAGACAGTACATGCAAACTTATCGTCATAAATAAAAACCTAGAAGTATCCAGCCTGCCTTGGAAATTCCACTGTCTACCGGGAATATATCATGGGGAAATAAATGACGATTTCGACGTCATTGAAACAAGTTTGCGATGCGATGATGTTTTGCACTTTCATCTTAATAACAATATCATTTGCAGTTTAGATAGTATCTAAATAGTAGTTTTTTTACGCACGAGCGAGGCTGGCGAGCAAGCAGACACTACAAATTGTATTTATTTAACCTACCCTCTATCATCTTGCACCCCCTGGCCCATTGTCTGGCGACTTCCTTACATATTTTTTCTATATTTTGTGCTAGATGCTAATTGTAATTTTGCGATACTGAGTCTGGAACTTACCTAAAATATAAAGTTATTTGGAACAGTCGCTGCCCAAATGTCCAATGGACGTCCACTTTATGTCCATATCATATTCGGAGGTCCATGGACATGAAATGGACGCCCAAAGGGTGTACCAAAGGAAATACCAAAGGAAATACTTAAGAATGTCTAGGAAAGGTACATCTTAACAAACGGCCTAAAACTATAAAATTATAAAAAATCTAGTGTTAGACTTTCATTTAATCTCCAAATAAACTGTCCAAATAACATTCATAATATGAAGTGCATAGGATGGGGTGTGTTCCAAAAATCAAATTGGCAGTAACAATAAAAAATGTATCTACTGTTAAATAGTGAAGAAGGGATCTCTTCTGGTGTATTATATGTATGAATATATGCATATATGTATAGTGAAAGTCAGGTGGTGGTATAGCAGTGATTTTGGTCTGTGGAAGATTCACCAGGTGCCCCAAAAAGTATTGTTGGCGATGTAGAAATTAATTAATTTTTAGTTATTGCCAATTGATAATAAGTATAAACGCATCTGGTGGTGTTCGATAGCATTGTGTGAATTCAAGAATTGTCAACAATAGATTTAAAACATACAAACTGCACATCATTTTCAAATAAATAAGTAGTTTTTTCACAAAAGAGAGGGACGCAGAAGTCTTACTCGACAAATTTTGTTCAATTGCACAGCTAAATCGCGCACGTTATTTGTGTTTCGCAAGTAAAAACTAAAAAACTTTGGTTTAGTACTCGATTTTGATTTATTATCTCTTAAATCTTTGATTAAGAAACTCAACGCTTATATGCTTATATAGTTACGTTAGTGTGTGTATTTTATCTAAGTGTTCATGGTGATTGTTATGTTTTTAATTGTAAATAAAATTCAAGAACTAAATGTTTGTGCAGAATTAACTAATGATAACTTTACCTAATATAATTTATATTAAAGTTTGAAAATTTTTAAGAAATCTAACAAAAAATAATTGTTGTACAAAAATAACCTTAAAATCGAATATATTTTTATTTGGGTCCTCTAAAAACGCCAACATTTTAAACGACCAAATATACCTACGAATTTATGGCAACATAATATTATATATAATACATAATATAATACCGATTCTTGATATTTTACTGTTGAGTGGAGACTTTCTTAATCAAAGCTTTTAATAATGCTAAATGCTGTTTGAATTTAGACCACTTATTTGTTTTTTATTTGAAATGTTTATAATTTTCACGTAAACATTAGATGTGTATTTATGTGTATTTATTGTATCTAATATGTACAATTTATATTTACAGGGATGGTATCATTATAACGGTCACGTGGTGGTGCTACTAGCGATGCTTCCTTAGCGTATTTTCTAAATATATTTATGCTATAGCAATATTGCAAATTATTAAAATTATTTTTATATTGCTTTAGTAACTATAGTTTAGTTTTTATTAAGCTTTTGTCTAGAGGTGTATCAGTGGAATTGTCCAAATATTTTTGTTGTATTTGAATGTAGAAGAAAACATGGTTTTAAATTTATATTTCTACGAAGCGAAAAACTGACAAAACCCAAACCATTACTAAGAACTTTAAAAAAGTGTATTAATAAACTTGATTATGAAAACAAGTTAACAAAATTTTAAGGAAAATGTGTAAGAATAAGCACTGGTGAAATCACAGATAAAACTTACTGGTTTTCTTAAATTAAATTTTGCAAACGAATCCGCAAGCACGATAAGAAATACAACAACCGTTTTAGGTACACGATACTGTTAAAATGAGTCTATAAAGTAAAAGATGTCAACAAAGGTCAAGTACTTTTAACCAAGCGGGACAAAACAACCAATGATTTAGACAAAGATTTAGATATGTGTACGATGATGTATAACTAGATAAAAACAAACACTGTTTTTTGAGTTTCACGAATTTTAGTATAATACTAACCCAGTAATTAAAAAAGACATAATAAATACTCTAGAAATCTGCCTGAAACAAAATTACTTCAAATTTAACAATAAAATATATACTAGCCATAATGGATTAATTATTAACTAAGTCCATTACTAGCTGATATTTTTGTAAACCACTTAGAATTAATCATCCACAAACATCCTAATATGAAAGAATTCGTATATTGGTACCGATATGTAGTTGATATCCTAACATCCTATCCTAAAGTTAAAATTACTTGAATCATAGATAGATAGATAGATAGATCTTTATTTCGTGTCAAAATACATAAGTATTTACACAAGTCAATGATTACAAAAGCAAAAACAAATTTTTCATAAAATTTAGAAGCTCAAGATACAAGGTACTGTCAGTATTTTAAGTTTAATAAAGGCATCCCTACAATCCTGTCTAAAATTAAAAATTAATAAATTTAAAAAATCTGATACTATCCTCAATGATTAAATAGAAACAAATAATTCCCCTCTGTTAAATGTATTCCAATATTATATAAAATTCCCCAACATTAGTTTATTACAATTATACTTCGACCGGTAAAATTGTCATACTAATTTGTTAAAAAAAACTATTACCTACCTGCAATAACTGGGTTATATAAGTTTGTTATTAGAAAAAGTTTGAAATCATTTCTGAAGAAGCTACTGTGTTAGCGAAACAATTGTCAAAATAAAATTGAAATAAATTCGTGAAACTCAATTGAACTATGGCACACCGTTTTAGAATTTATTAGATAAAAGTTTAAAGATTAAAGTTTAGCACTTAAATTAAGTTTTAACAGAAATTTATAAAGTTAAATTTTTTTAAACTCAAAACAATTGATAGTCAACAAAATATTATAAATATAAAATGCAACAGTAAAAATTTATGTTTAAAAATATTGATTTTTAAAAGTTTTGGTTATAATATTTTATTCTTCAAAATTATTTTTTTAAATTTTTAAATGATAGTTGATAAATTTTTAATTCAAACCAATAATTTTGAAGAATAAAATATTAAAATTTCATTTTTTAAAAATCAATGTTTTTAAACTTTAACTTTTACAGTTGCATTTTATATTTAAAATATTTTTTGATTATCAATAGTTTTGAGTTTATAAAGTGTTTTGGTAGAAGATGTTTTAAATGTTTTTTTATTTTAAATGGCTTGATACTAATTTAAATAATAAAAAAATTAACTTTACCAAATTAATCTCAATAATTTAATAAAATATTTATTTTAGTTTACAAAATGCCACCCAAATAAATTATACTTGGGAAATTCTTTTTATTAAAAAATGATAGTTAGATAAAAATTGATAGAAAATAATATTGTTTAATACAGAAGTGAACTGTTAGTTTTGTCTTTCAGTACATTATAGTTAAAAAGATTTTAAATTTATAAATGTAAACCTAAAATTTTTAGTCAGGAAAATTTTAAACCAATAAAATTTTAAATTAAAAAATTATTTAATAAATGTTAAAACGGCGTGCCATAAAGAACAGTGTTTGTTTTTATCTAGTTTTACATCAGTGACATGGAGTTTCATCAAGTAAAGGTCGAAACAATAAAATATGTGTACGATGTTAACTTAGGCCAGGCTGAAAAAAATATTTGTACAAATCTCCTTTGTCATAGTTAAAGGTTTAAGAAAAAAATGTTAAAGTTCCATTATGCAGCTCTTCGATTAAAAAAAATAATGGCCGCGGCTTAAAATTAAAATAGGTATATTAACATTAATAGATTTTTATTATGCCATATCAAAAATGTTACTTTGAAAAAAAATTCTTGAATTTCAAGAAACTTTAACACTCTGGAGGCGCGGCTAAAACTTTATTTAACAATTTGGAAAAAAACATTTGTGTACCCTTCTCATATTTTTTTTTAACTATGACAAGTAAGATTTTGCTTGTTAAAATTGCAACAAGGGTTTTTATTTAAATATTTAAAAATTAGTAGACAAAAAACCTTGTTAAATAACCTAAAAACTAGCTTAGAATAAATTTGACACATGTCATATCAACCAAAAACTTCATAAACCCTTTATTTTTGTTATAATGCTTTTTTCAGAAATAATACAAAAGAAAACCCAAAAAAACTAAATTAGGGGACCAAACAAATTTATTACATTTAAATGGCCGATGATGAGGACGAAGACGTCGGAGAAGGAGAAGAAGGAGAAGAAGGAGAAGAAGGAGAGGAAGGAGAGGATGGAGAGGAAGGAGAAGAAGGAAAAGAAAAAGGAGAAGAAGATTCGCAAAAATCTTCAGACAAGGATGCAACAGATAAAGGATCAGATGAAAATCTGGATAGCAATTCGGACGATTCGGAGTCGGACAGCTTCGTTACGACTCTTGGGAACTTCATTAACACCGTGTATAGTACAAGGTACTATTGGGCCATATTTAAGAGTACCATTGTGTTTTTGTTGGCTCTAAAATTATCGCGCGACAGTAAAAAAATGGTGATACCATTAAAATATTATGTACCTTTTAAGTAGATATTAAAAATTGACTTTACGAAACTTTACAGTTATTTTGGAAATTTTCATATACCTAAAATATTTCACGAATAAATGTATAAAACAATGTTTTAGCTTAATTTAACTGAAGCAAAATATTTTAAATATAAATAGGACTTTCGTCTATTTTATCCTATTTTTGTTCGTTTTGAATGATTTATTTTAATTATTATATTATCTTAACTATAAAAAAATGTTTTATAGTTTATTTATGCTATAAAATAATATTTTTGCTTACGTTTTGTTTTGTTTTGTATTAATTGTCTT